CAGAACAGGCAGATCGACGAAGTACACTGCTGAGGGGAGCAGCGGGCGGGTCAGAGAGGTCTGCCACGCCATGTGGTCACCTCCGGGGCAGGCGGGATCGAACTCATGCAGAAGTGGCTTAAGCTTCTTAGTGCAGTGCTTTAACTCACTGCGCCACCAGGGAGGGCCCACTCCCACCCCCACCCCATTTTTTAATTCCATTCCCCACTCCATCCCAATAAAATGTCTCTGGTATATAGTTGTTCATTTCAAACCACAGCCCCCCCAACCCCCCATGGGCCTTTATGCTCTTGCTATGAGTGAAACCACCCAGTATTTTCTTTTTCTTTCTGACTTATTTCACTAAGCATAATCCCTTCTAGCTCCATCCATGTTGCTGCAAAAGGCATGAGCTTATCTTTTTTGATTGCCGAGTAATATTTCATTGTGTATATGTACCACATCTTTTTAATCCAGTCTTCTATTTTTGGGCATTTGGGTTGATTTCATATCTTCCCTATTGTAAACAGAGCAGCAATAAGCATGGGGGTGCAGGTGGGGCTTTACACCTGTTCCTTTTAAAAAAAGATTTCTCAGATTCCTTAAATGAGACAGCTGCTTAATTCTTGTTGTTTTCTTGCTTGTCTCCCTTCCCTGGGTTGTAATGCACTTGATGTTATCCTAATCTGATGATTATGGGTTAAATGAAGACACAACAAATGCACTAAACACACACCACACACACAAGAGGTTTCCTGGGCTTTTTACTACCATGTGACAGGAACATTCTATTTTGGAAATACTTTAGGAAACTCCCACTCTTGTAAGCCTCCATGCTGGGTGGCCCAGACCCCAAAACAAGTATACTTATGTACACTAAGTATGGTAGAAATGTGTGCATTTGTTCACAAATGGGAACTCCCCTTGCATGGAGTAAATGCCGCCCTCATACAATTATCTCAATATATGTCAAATTCTGAAAAGGGGAAAATGTGCCTAGAGCCCTCTTCTAAGATTCCAGCTCAGAAAGAGCTTCCAAAGATGATGATATTTGGAGGGCAGAACTGAATCCTCCTATATAACCCCTGTTCTCCTGTGGAATAGTTACTCTGGCTTTTAGATAAAGAATGTTAAAAAATAAACAGAAAAGAGACTGCTCCAAAAGTGTTCACAGCCCTTGCAAATAATTTAGTGAAGAGGTATAAGACAAAGGGTGTCTGTTAGGCTTGCCCTTTGTTCCTGAAGTCTCTGCATTAGACTGTGTGTACTCACCTGAGTCGTCTTGTTTGGTCTCTGTCTCATCTTTCACCATCAGTCATTCAGCAAAAAAATAAGATGGATGTTGGCTTAGCCACCCCTGCTTTAGTAAGATTTCTGTCAGGAACTGGCAATAGGAAATGATCAGTTCTACTCAACATCATTTTCATACTTAAAATCTGGAAAAAAGGAGATTTTGTTTGCAAGAAAGCATGACTGACAGTTAAAATGAGTTTAAGATTCTCAGCTGTATTATGGCCGGGCGAAAAGAATGAATGTCAAGTCAGGACTTTCAGTTTGAGCCCGGTGTCTAGAGTGACACTTTTTGCACAACTGCCTGGAGTCCTTGAATATTTCATTCATTCTTATTTAGTTCACAGTAAATACAACATGTTAAAAAATACTAAGCACATTTTATTTATATTTTTTCTGAATAGTTTTAAATGAAATCATTGGGGCAGAAGGAAGCACCTTCATTGGGTAGGATACCAGTGATGTTCAGTCTGCACAGGAGGCTGGGGTGAAGGTCGGAGGGGTGGGGTGGGGTGCGAGGGCAGAATACAGAAGGAGGGAAGGTTCCCATGTCTGGCACAAGAAAAGACTAAAGACTAGGAGTAAGGGAGCCTGTCCTTTGCAGGCACGGCAGTTGCGAAATGAAGCCTGTATATGGGCCCCTAGGGTTTCTGTGGACTCATCCCTGGCAACTCCTTTTATGAGGAGGGATGGGCAAATGGTAAAGACTGCTAATGGAAGTACCCTGCTTCTTTTTGCTGGTCCCTGCAGAGTTTTGAATACATCATAGAAGTGCAGAGTGTTAACACCTGTTTATGGCTAGAGCAGTAGATGCCAAGGCTTCTCTGTAGTTCAGAGTCCAGCTGAGATTGAAGAGTTCCCAAGAGAAAAAAATGCAACAGAGAAATCAGTTTAGTTTTACCCCCATTATTTTGCAGTTACAAAAGTGTACTGTTTGCCACAATAATGCCTAGTGTTAGCTGCTGTTACTATTATTTTGTCATATTTTGATTTATCTTTTTTTGATACCACATTTCTTCCATCTTTCAGCAGATCCTCTTTGATACTCTGTGATCTGTGCTGGGTGCCCTTGTGGCAGACAAAGTTGTTAAGGGATTACCTTGCTCTGAGGAGATATAAGCAGAGTCATGGCACCAACAGAGTGCAGAGAAAGAATGAGAATGCCACATAATGCATAATTAGGAATTCTCTTAAGGCTACATTACAGGCTGATCACGACTTGTGACACTGACTTGAAAGAATGGCCGCTCTGTTGCAGCCAGCACACCTGGAAATGGTTCTCTCAGTGGTGGGGCATTAGACTCTTACTTCACTGGTTCTCATTGCCTGAAGGTTCATCAGGAAGGTGTGGGTTCAGAGTCCTTCCAAACTCTAGATGACTCTAAAACCCTATTTTAGGCCTTTCTTGACAATGGGGTGGGGGGGTGGGGGTGGGTAGGTGAGTTTTCTCCTTTTTTTATTATTGCATTGGGGAAGCTTTAATATATTGAAGATATCCGAGAACGTTTTTAAGTTGATTTAGAATTGGCAATCAGGGAGAAACTGAGTCTTTTTGCTTTCTTGGGACCCCAGGGAGAAGCAAAAGGCCTTTGACAAGAGAAAGGTGACAGGAATACACGTCATACCTAGCAGAGCAAGACCATGTTCTCCCAGCCCCTCAATCTGGAGTCTCCTTTCCAACTGTCCTCCTTCCCTTCTTGTCCTTAAATGCCTTTTTCATTTGAGTTTGCATTGCAGTTGCAGTAGCAGAGGATAGGAATCCCTAATATTCTGAGCTAGAATTCTCATAGGCTTTTCCTGAAACAATGTCACATAAAGATGATTTGTGTCTATAGCACAGTGTATGTAGAATCTTCTTAGAAGGCATTGTATATTAAATGTCCTTCTAGAGTGACTTGAGACTTTAATCACTATAAATAAGTGTTTCTCTAAGAAATTGTCTTCTAAAAGAACTGATAAGCAAAGAAACTTGAAATCTTGGGGATTATTCAGAGTGGGGAAGATAAGTACATTTACCTCTTGGCATTCATTGAAGAAAGAAAGACAAAGACTTCAGGGAGTTCTGGAAGGATAGCTGGGATTCTGGTAGGCAAGGGAATGAGAATGAGAGCAGGCATTTCAAAAGCTAGGGGAGAAGGGCTTCAGATGAGGGACATTCCAATGAGGACTCACAGGTAGTATAACTCTGAATGTATAGAATCTATTAGGACACACAAAATGATTTGACTAACAGGACTGAGATTGCTGCTTACAGAGGTCTTCTTACAATACTGCCCTTGAGTTGCAACCAAGGGCATTTCCCAGAAAGCATTTCCTCATAAAGATGTCTCACTGTGCCTAAACTGTGTGTGTGTCAATGTGCTTTATGCTGAATGCTTGCTTTCCTTCTCACAGTATGCAATTTGAGTGTGTGCTAGGCAGGGTGCCTATCTAACAACCTCCAATAAAAACCTGGTCGCCCAGAGTCAAAGAGCTTCCTTAGTGGATAGCATCTTATCCATGTTGTCATTTGTGCCTCCAGAGGTACAAATATGGCACAAAGCTTGTATCCAGCTTCTGCAGGACTTTGCCCCCACAGATTGTCCTTTCTATTTTTTTCTCTGTAGTAAATCCTGGTTGTAAGGACAATTCAGTGCTGAGTCCTGGTGAATAATTGATACTGGGATGATCTTAGGGATCACAACACAAAAGTAAATTGGTGAATATTGTTTTATTGTGGGGTGGGGAAAAATAATCTACTTATTCAAAGACATTTAGACATGAAATTAGGCATTTGTCCCAGTCTTTGCTCATCCTCTGATACTGATGATGAGAAAAAAGTGTGCTTTGCCAAAAGAAATGTCAAAGAAGTCCACTTCAGAAGCAAAGATATTTTCATATTGTGTTAAGCTTATGAGGTACAGTTATACTGCTTGTTAAAATACATTTTGTGAGAATGTGTTTTGAATTTTAGAAATTTAGACGGCGTGTTCAAGAATCTACCCAAGTGCTAAGAGAACTGGAAATTTCTTTACGAACCAACCATATTGGGTAAGTGTGCCATTTAACATTTTAGCTCTAAGGCTTTTGGACACTTTACAAAGTGATTGAATCACATCCAAAGAATTAAGCTTCTTTATTGTTCATTAAAAGTCAAAAGACTGAGGTTAAGAACTTTTGTTAGTGCTTGAATTGCTCACTGTACAAGAAGCTGTAGAAGCAGGACACATAACCTTTGATTTTGTGTGTTTATTAGCAATTCTAAAATTCTTTGCCTGAATCTAGTGATAATTGCTTGGTTTCACTTCCATGACCAATCAAAAGCCCCTAGCAAAAAATGAAGGAAAATCTGTCAACCTAACAGGTGTCCAAGCTGACTTGTTGAGTCTGTCCCCTTACTTCTGTGTCCTGGCTTTTCTGACCAAACAGGGCAGAGACAGAAGCTGCAATGATGGCTCCTGACACACTTCACTGCACTTGCTTTGTTCTTATCATCATTTCAGGACATACAAGTATGAATCCACTCTGGGAAGGCCAAGTGTGGGAAATTTCTTTAGTCAGCATTTCTAAGAGTTTTTCTTGTAATAACATGGTTCTTTTGCCTCAAGCAAATACAGTTTTTTACATTCTCCCTTACTCCTGGGATGGCATAATTGTATGGTATCTTATAATAAGATTTTTTCCCCCCCAAGGCAGAATGATATCAGGTATCCTGATATATACTCATATTTCTGCCTATTTAACATCAGAAAAATTATTAAATTTCTGTGGGTTTTGATCTTTTGAGTTCTACAATGAGAACATTATAGACATTGAAGTCTTTTATGATTTTTTCTTTGCAGGTCTACTAGAAATGAAGTTTTGCATATTTTCTACAGTGTAGTTTCATATATCCTGTGAAATATACTACATAAATAAGGTTCTTTCTACTTAAGACTGCTTGGAATGAGCCAGTCAATCAAATAATTAATTCCTATAGGTATTACAAAATAAACTTTTTTTATATGGCAGAAATGCAAGACTAATTTATAGGTGATGGATCTTGGGTGAAAATGTTATTTTCCTAGTGGGTAACTCAATATATTTGTCACCTTGAGAAGGAAGCATAAGCGAACTGAACTGATTCTAACCTAAGGTTGATAATCACCTCTGTCCCAGAAAATGAACTTTATAGAAGTGTCATTTTCAAATTAGAAAAGAAACTAAGGATTGCTTAGTCCATTATTTATGGGTTAAAAGAATTAAGGTCAGAGAAGGTGAATAACTTACACTAAGTTGAAAACTCTAGAACCATGTGCTTTGGATCAAAATGCTATGTTCTTTTCCTTATGTAGCTCAACCTACCAGCCCTTTTTCTGAAAGGAAATAATGTCATCAGGACTCTGGAATGAAAGCAATGAGGCTTATCTGTTGGGGGGCCGAGGGGGAGAGGGAGGTGAAAGTGGTGGTGATTCAGTGTACTTGGGTAGCCAAGCTTAGGAAAGTCAACAACTACTCAGTTTTTTCAGATTGGGAACTAGATTTCCTTGGTAAGGTCTGACTCAATACTTCTTGACTGAAAATGGTGGCATGAACTGCAAACTGGATTGCTACAAATTGCCAAAAAGCATTTCTTCAAGCATTGCTGAAGTAATGTGAAATTAACCATCAAATACCAAAGTTAGAATATCATTTCCAATACAAAGTTGGCTGAATAGAAGAGTCATGGTTGGATGTAAGCCATTGCAAATCTTTAAGCAATTGGATAGTTTATTGTTTAGGGTATTATAGTAATGTTGCAAGACTCTTCTTAAACTTCTTTCATCTTCACCTTTGTGAGATACTGAAAGCTTTGATTAGCAGCAGGAAAATTCGTGGAGGTGCATTATCTGGTTGTGTGTAACCAATTACTCTTATAATCTTATATGGTATTAAATCACATACTAAGATTTTGCCCATTCTGAAAACCCAAACCTGGACTCTTCATTGTGGAAACTAATTGGCTTGATTTTCACTTGAATGGGAAATCAATGGGAAGAATTACTCATTAATTTGAAAATGATCAATGACTACAGTGAGGTATTGTGGAAAAAGTAGACCTATAGGCTTTATTGCTAGAAAATTGTGTGCACATTTGCCTTATGGAAGGAGAGAGCGTGGTTCAAATTTTTTGCCACTTAGTAAGATTTTTGCAAATTCTTAGTATGTGATTTAATATTGAGCTTAGACAAATTACATAAACTTCTGGTCCTAGACAAATTACATAAACTTCTGGTCCTTATTTATCATGTGGCCTGATCTAACTTTTCACCTACAAAATCAAGATAATAATACCTTGTAGGAGTGTTGTAAGGATTGAATTGACATAGTTTATAAAAGACTTAGTATGGGGTGTTCTACATGGTAGTTGCTCAGTATTTAACCAGTATTGTTTTGTCTGTTGAAAATATATGTAATAATTATTACAGTGTATATAAAATAATCCAACAGTGTTATATAATATATCCTTAAGGAATTTGATGCAGAGAATGTTACCTTTTCTGTTTAGAGTGACTTGGGCACATGGGTAATTATGGATCCCAGAAACTAAAAGGAAGAATTATGTTTAACATATACTTGTTCTTAAGAAATTATTCTTGGCACGTGCTTACTTTTCTAGGTTAGAGTCTGGGGCTTTGCTGAGATAACATTCCAAACTAGAGTCTGGTCAAGTAAAGGATTTTTTTCCTGAGTTTTGATATAAGTCTAAAGGCTCTATAAATGGAGCAATCTTCTGAGAGAAAATTAATTTTCTCTGAGCCAAATTGAATAAGAATTGGATCAGAAATAATCTCATTCACTTAGTTTAGGAATTATAACAATAGAGAAGAAATAGATTATGACTTATCCAAAGCCTCAAAATGACTTGAAATAGCCTTGAAAAAGGAGCCTTGTTCTGTTAGAACACATTGGCCATGCAGCACTAGGGGGCAAATGTCATTGTGTTTTGGATGTCAGGGTGGTAACATTCAAGTGGTGGTGACAGTGCTGAGCTGGGTAGATTTAAGAGCTTTATTCACCATGGAACTGAGAGCTTTATTCACCATGGAACTTTCCTTGCAGGTAATTTATTTTACTAAAGCTGTCTATGGTAGAAAATTATTTTTTTTAAAAAAATTTTATTTATGCATACAGGGTACAGGCCAGAGGTGCAGGGGTGGTTAGAGGATTTTCCAGAGACAGAGTAGGGAGCAGAACAGGCCGACTGATGAAGTACACTGCTGAGAGGAGCAGCAGGCAGGTCAGGAGAGGTCTGCTATGCCATGTGGGTCACCTCTGGGGAGAATGGGAATCAAACTCATGTTGAAGTGGTTTTAGCTTCTTAGTGCTGTGCTTTAACCCGCTGCGCCACCAAGGAGGGCTTGAAAATTGCTTTTTGTCATAGAAATTTTGGGAGATGCCCATTTTATTTCCTCTCATTGGAGCAGTTGAGAAAATGGGCATGAAGTTGCAGGAGGATTGTGCAAGTTGGCAGGAGAGGGAGGAGGAGGTTTATAGAACAGGGAAGGAGCTGAGAAGCTGTTTAGTGAACATCTTCCCCACCAAGAAGTCACCTCAGGATTAGTTCATTCTTAGATGTGCTTTCTGGAAATCTTACTAATGTATTTTGTCATTGTGTATTAGGTATGCTAAAGGTATTATTTATATCACCTAAGATGTGAAAAATCTTTTCATCATTGCCTTTTATCTCTGATGAGACACCGCATAAATGAGAAAACTGAGCCCTCTATTGAGTGCTTGCTGAAGTCTTAGAAGCACTGAGATTAGAACCTAAATATGACCAAATCAAAAAGCTGTTACATAAATGAGAAATTATCAAATTTTTAATTTAAGCACCTTTTTTTACTCTCAAATTATTCTGAACCCAATATAGGCTTTGCTTTATATGGATTTTATCTATTAGTACTTACCATGTTGGAAATTTAAACTGATAAGTGTTAAATATGCATGCTAAATAAAATTTAATGTTTAATAATGATAGTTAGGAAATGTAAACATATTAACATTAAAATACAAGCATATTATAGCACATATAACATGACATGAAGAATAACTTTCCAAAGCAAAAAAAGGTTAGTGACAAGAGTGGCTTTGCTTTACATATTTACAATAGAATGTATCTTTAATGTCTGATTAACAGAATGCAACTGGATTCAGATCTCTTTATTTATGTACATTTAATTTGTTGTGATACTGTTTTGCTTGATGTTAGGAAGAAAATTTGACTAATTTACACATGGTACTTGGGAGAAATTTTTTTTTAAAAAGATTCATTTTATTTATGCATACAACAACTGGGGTTTAGACCAGAGGTGGGGATGGGTGAGAGGATTCACCAGAGACAGAGTGAATCCTGTCTCTGGAGCAGAACTGGCAGATTGACTGAAATAACAATGCTGAGGGAAGCAGCAGGTGAGACTGGAGAGGTCTGCGTGTCATGTGGGTCAGCTTTCTGGGGGTGGGGGGGTTTGGGGGTGTGGGAGATGGAACTCCTGGTGCCCTGGCTGGGGATAGCTTCATAGTGCTGAGACTTAACCCCTTTGCACCACCAGGGAGGCCCCAGGAAAAGGAATTGAGGAATTAAAAAAAAAAATATTTTTACATCATTCTGTGCCTTTTTCCATCTCAGTTGTCAACCCCTTGGGCTTCCCATCACCAAATCATCCATGCCATCACCATTGTCCAGTGCTTTGCCTGTGCGCCCCCCAACCCCATTATATAGTTGTTCATTATTATTATTTTCTCCCCTGGTCCTTTATGCTCCTGGGACTATGAGTGAAACTATCTGGTATTTTTCCTGGAAAAGGAATTTTTAATAAACAACTCAGAACTGTGAATATTCTTTGATAATATACAAACATTTAAGATGTGGGAATTAAAATTGTTGCAATGTGGAAATGTTGCAATGTCTGAAACCATAGCCAATATTTCTTTGTACTGTAACAGTAAAATCCATTTTGTTGTTTGCACTTTGGGTCTCTTAATGCATAATTTTGATCATGAATTGGTCATTTGGAAATACTGTTTCACTGAGTTATTCTGCTCTTTCAAACATCTACACATTTTATTTTACAATGTAAAAACAATTACAGTTTGTTAAAAATCACTAGTCTCACCAGAATGTATGTTAGCTTGGGAAGCAGTGAAGTTCATGGTAGTAAATATATGTGTTCTCAAAATTCTGACTTTTTGTTGTTTGAATGTTCTACTTTTATTGTGACTGCAAATACCATCAGTTTTCTTTAAAATTACACTTCATTCATTTTTTTTAAAGGTTTATTTATTCGTACAGAACTGGGGTACAGGCCAGAGATGCGGAGGGTGAGAGGATTCACCAGAGACAGAGTGGGGTACAGAACAGGCAGATCGAGGAAGTACTGCTGAGGGTAGCAGCGGGCGGGTCAGGAGAGGTCTGCCACGCCATGTGGATCTCCTCCTGGACAGGCAGGGATTGAACTCATGTGGGAAGTGGCTTTAGCTTCTCAGTGCAGTGCTTTAGCCTGCTGCGCCACCAGGGAGGGCCCACTTCATTCATTTTTGAGAAAATAACTGCCTTATATTTAAGACAGAATGACCATCTTTTTTTTTTTTTTTTTTTGTTACATTCTGTAAAAAGGTGGCTCATTCAGTTTCAACTCAAACAATTGTACTAATACTTTTCTTCAAGACAACTGCAGTACTTGTGGACTTTTTCATTTAGTTACACAGAAAATTAAAAAGATATATAGACATACCCAGGATATACTGTGGGCTTGGTTTTCTGTCAGTGCTATAAGTTGAATTTCTCATTAAAGAGATTCTTTTTGTTTCCTAGTGCATATAAAAGTTATGTTCACACGGTACTGTAGTCTAACTGTGCAATAGCATTAATTAAAATTGAGACAGACATAATGTGAACACATGCTGATGGAAAAATAGACTTGCTCAATGCAGGGTTGCTACAGATCTTCAAGTTGTAAAAAAGTGCAGTATCTTTAAAGTGCAATAAAAATGAAGTTCAATAAATGTCTGGTTACTCAAGAAGCATGTCTGAATGTAATCAATAATTTATATTGTTTCACTAAAGACTTTTGTTTTTGACTTGGTATAAATGAGATACTAAGAAGTCTTAAGTGAAACTGCCTTGTTTTCCCCCTTTCTGGTGCACGGGGTGAAGAGTACAATATGTAGGTGTATTCTTTGGTGGCATCTGTTTTATGCACATTTCTTTGTATCACCAACACAGCTATCAGCACAGGGGAAATAGCAACCCTGTCTTAATATTTTTATGACAATAGCTTTAAGTTTACAACCCCCTGAGGTTTCAGGGTCCCCTAGTGGTGTATGGATTATAAACCGCTTTGTGAACTTACTTTTGATACACACAGAAAAGATTTGTTAGCTAACAGTCAACTTGGGTAATGCTCATCTTTTTCATCCTTTTCATGATTTTCAGCCTGCTTTTTCAGCAACTGAAGTTTCAACCATGTGTGTAGCACCTCTGTAAGGAAGATTGGTGAAGGGAGTGCACCATTTACCCCTTTTTCTTCTGAGTCTTGAGTCTGGGTTCATTAGAAATGTAAAATCAGAACCATGCTTTGGACTTTGTTATGTAGATGAGAACAATGTGGTTATAGGATTTTGGGGGCAGAGAGAAAGGAACAGAAATTCTGAAATAATAGGACAGTTACTGTTGTCATCTGCACTGAGTTTCCTTCCTTGATGACATTTTTTTAGAGCTATTTTTCATGATCATTGTCTCTTCCAGCTTCTAAGCAGCTGATTTGAAATTTGCTTAAATTCATATTTACAGCATATGGTAATTATGTTGAATCTGTAAGACACTCAAATGATACATGCTGTTGGATGAGAAATAATTATATTTTCCCAAACCCATAATCACCATGTTTAAAACTGTTTGCATATTGGCAGTGTATTAAAAAGTGTATGTGTTGTGTACAGAGGTGAAGCTTGAAACTATGACAGCTCATTGCATGATCATATACATAAATCTGCAGGGTAGTGCATCCATCTTTTTTGCCTTTAGATTCAAAATATTGGTGTGAAAGTGGCCTTTACTCTTTATTTTCTTTCTACATTCTTCACTCTGAAAATTTTTTTAAAAAAGATTTTCTTTCTACATTATTCACTCTGAAAATTTGTTTAAAAAAGATTTATTTATTTTGTGCATACAGAACTGGGGTACAGGCCAGAGGTGCAGGGGCGAGAGGAATCACCAGAGACAGAGTGGGGACTAGAACAGACAGATCTGTGAAGTACACTGCTGAGGGGAGCAGTGGGTGGGTCAGGAGAGGTCTGCCACGCCATGTGGTAACCTCTGGGGCAGGTGGGGATTGAACTCATGCGGAAGTGGCTTTAGCTTCTCAGTGCAGTGCTTTAGCCCGCTGCGCCACCAGGGAGGGCCCCACTCTGAAATTTTTTAAGGTACTTATAGTCAAAGTCAGAAAATGAGATGTGCCATCAGTAAATGTGTGGCGTTGAAGAGAAACCAATTGTTTTTATACCAGCATCAAAATACATGCAGAGTAGCATTTTGAGACCAGAGAATTGTAGCTCTGGGCATACCTGGCTATTTCCTACTATCTATTCCTTTTTTATCCCCCCAATACTTTTACGTGGGCCATTTGTCACCCACCCAGTTTGTGGCTAAACTTTCTAAGTAAAATGGAGGTATTCATGGTTGAGACAATGGTTTGAGGACTCTCTAGTCTTGGGCCATTTGTACATTTTGGAGATAATGTCAGGAAAATCAACCAGAAGGAACCATGCTAACTTTTTCTCAGCTCTAAATTCCAGGCCACTGAGACAGAATATGTGATACTTCCCTGAAAAATCTGAATCCTGTAGATGACTGTTTATATTAAAAAGTGGACCCCATAACCAGCTCTGGGGATTCCTGCTGTGACCCATCACCAAGGGCCACTTTAAACCATGTCATCCCAGACCATAAGCCAGCCACTAGAGAGGCCCAAGAGAAGCCAAGAAGCTTGTTGCAAGAGCTACTCATTTGATTTTCATAATGGGTTTGAATTTTTATTCCAGTTGTAAAAAGAACAATTTCTTAGCTTTTAATATTAGCATTTAAAAATGTCCATCGTGCACTGAGACTAGCCACCTAGGGAGTAAATAACGTGAATGTAAGGCCTAGAGGCAGATGCCCTGAGTTTGTATATGTGGTGGTTTTGACATGAAGCCTCCCCTGGCCTAGTAGCCAGCCCTGTTAACTGTGATCAACTCACAGAACAAAGAAAGCCACTTTGTGAGACCTGACCAGTGGTGGTTTATCGTCTTTGTTACCACTCTTGACTTTTTTTAAATCTTATTTGTTTACAGATGGCTGTGAAGTGCTTACATTTTATGTTAACCTGCCTGAGGTATTAGGGGAAAATAGGAGGCAAACTGTTTACTGATCCACCTAGCTGTCTCCTGGAGCTTAAATGCTGACTTAGTAAGAATGAACGTAAGGATAAAACAAAACAACAATAACAAAATCCCCAAAACAAAATGAAACCAGTATCTTGAGTTCACCAGATTTTTTTCTTCCTTTAAGACAAAGGCTTTAAGGGGCTGATCATCCTTTAGGACATGGAATAGAGTGTCATACTGTTTTCCTTAGCTCATCTTCCAAAGTAGCAACGCTCATGTCTATGAATGGTGGACCATGGCCTAGGTATTCATGAAAGAAGGTAACCACTTCAGGATGCAATTGATAGATGTACCTTAAATTTCATTTCTGTGATAGTAGCAGACACTTTTACTTATTATTTGTTGGGGTTTCAAACCTACTGAAGGCTTATTGGGGTGTCACATGTTTTTTGAAGGTGGTTGCTTTGGAGGAAATTTGTCATGTGGGTTCACAGTTATTTGTCTTCAGTACCTGAAAGTTCCTTCCTCTCTAAGAGTTATTATGAAGAATAATAAAAAAAAAAGGATAAATACATTCAGTGAACTGCATTCAGATTCACCATTCAAATGTATGATGGTGTTACTTAAAAATAAGAAAAATTTTCAAGATATGGCATTTATCATGTCTTGACTTTGGAGATAATGTGTGGTGCCTGCAACTTTCAGAAGGTTTTAACATTCATGGAAAAAATTAAGTGAATCGTTATCCCTATTGAACTTCCAGAAGCCTATAATCACTGGTCTGTCATTGGCTGGTTTCGTGTTTTCAGCATCTTAGTGTGCCAAGAAGGAGTTGAACTTGGATTTGGAATCACGCCTGGATTTCAGTGGTTATGTCATCATGTCCCCTGTCTGCCTCATTCCCTATGCACTCTTGGCTCCTTTCATAAGCAGGCTGTGTTTCAGTTCTGGTGGAAAAAGTACATTTAGCAAGTTCCCTTTTTAGAAAGTTTCTTATAAGTTATCCCAAGTTTCCCGAGCAGTAAAGTGCAAGGTGGGTACATTCATCCCTTCCCTTTTGCTCCCTCTTGTGTGTGGTTTTTTTTTTTTTTTTTTTTTTTGATTGTTGTTGTTGGCCTGTCTGAAAGCCCCTCCTCAGGTGATAGTCTAAGCCTTACTGCATATTTCCTTTCAGTTAGTGAATGTCTCCCTGTATCCTTTTCATGGAAAAACCAACAGTTTCCCTGTATCCTTTCCATGGCAGAGCAGTGATGAACCTCTGAAATCTTTTTTTCTTTTGCTTTAACAGATGGGTCAGAGAGTTTTTGAATGAAGAAAACAAAGGCCTTGATGTTCTAGTGGAGTATCTATCATTTGCTCAGTATGCAGTAACGTAAGTACAACCAAGCTTATTTTGTAGTTTGTGCGGCCACAGAAGATACAAGTAGTGAAATTACTCAGTATACTCAGAAGAAAAGGTGGATTTAAGGAGGTTGTTACTACTTTTATCTAAAATGAAAATCTCTTAGTTGATATAGTAATACGTTTAAGGCAGAAAGAAAACAGGTGATTTCAAACCACCCTTTGAAAACTCTTGTCTTTAAAAGTAGGATTTTAGTGCTCAAGTTATATAAAGCCATATGGTAGAATACTTAAGCAGTTATTGAAAAAGGTATCTGATATACAGTTGAATGAGCAAAGCAAGATGCAAAGTCTCCTTTTTATTAAAAAAGTGATACATATACATATATTTGTATATTCTTACTGATAAATACAGAGAATATGATTGTAGAAATACATACCAAACACATACATACATACCAAATACATACCAATAGATGCTTTTTTACTTTATATGGTATATGTTCCCCCTCCAAATTTCAGAGATCTATTAATCAGTGTAAACCCCAGCACAATAAACCCAATATGAGTTAGTGCGTTTAGAGGGGGAATTGTGAGGATAAATTCTGGAAGACCTCTGTTTTAAGCAGCTTTGTAGTGAAATACTTCGTTTGGAAGGATGGCCTTTCTTCAGTTTTTCTCTCATTGATTTTTACTTAGTAGAACTGGTATTGATCACTGGCACCCAGTTTGTTCCAGGGTTCAGGTTATTCATTCTGTCCCAACTGACACCTGCCTGAACGAAAGTCAGATGCATGACCTACATGGCTGCTCTGGCTCACATAAGTACAAAGAAGTATATCAAACTAGGATGCTTGGCCTGACAGGAGCTGGCGAAGCATGGTTGCAGGAAGAGGCCTTGGACCTGAAAGGAGAAGAGAACAATCAGCAAGGCCTGGGACTAGGTTTGCTTTTATGCTGTTTGTTTCCTTTTCTTAAGGCATAAGGGAGAAAACCTGGGGCAGAACAGGAAAAAAAAAATCAACCAATGTAACCTTGATTTTTTGTTCACTCGTAATTTTCCCATTTGGTAGACTTCTAAAAGATTTGTAACAGAAATGGAAAGTGTGCATTTGAATGAGACAACCTCTTCACATTTTTCCTTTAATCAAAAAATATTTTAGTATCCACAGATGTATTCTGATACATAGAGACTGATAATTTTTAATTTAACTGGAAGGGTTTTGACACAGGTGGTGTTTTTGTCTTCTCAGTTCTCCTTTCTTTTAATTGAGTATTGCTGCATCTTAATATTGCATAAGCTTCAGGTGTGAATCATTGAAAATCATGAGCATGTACTACACTTAAGTTTACGTTTTTTTAAATGGTAATGTTTTTTTATATTGCCTCATTCTGAAAACAATCCCAAGACCTTGCCTGATGTTAATTTATAATCCCTACCACTTCCTTGAGAATTGTGAAGAGAAAGCTGTAATTACCTTGGTTGCATAAACTAAAGTGTTAACTGAAACTGCTTTGATGAGTTTCAGTTTTGGTAACTCTTGTATTTGTTGGGAATAGAGTAAGAAAACAACAGATAAGTTCTTATCTTTCTGAAAAATTATCCTCTGAATATAACCTTAGTTTTTTTTTTTTTTTAAAGATTTATTTATTTATTCATACAGAGCTGGGGTACAGGCCAGAGATGCGGAGGGTGAGAGGATTTACCAGAGACAGAGTGGGGAGCAGAACAGGCAGATTGATGAAATACACTGCTGAGGGGAGCAGCGGGTGGGTCAGGAGATGTCTGCCACACCATGTGGATCTCCTCCGGGGCAGGCAGGAATCGAACTCATGCGGAAGTGGCTTATTACCTATCTGTAGTATGTAAAAATACACTAATCTCCCTTACACTTCATATTTACAATAAAGCAGATTACCTGTTGCATATTAATGGCATTATAATGAGATATTTATGGAATTAAGAATTAGAAAACTTCAGGGTTAATGGAAAAGAGTGGCAGCTTGATTGTGTAGGTTTTCTATAATAAACTATCTATAAAGCTTATAAGCCAGCTTTTCCTGTTTGTACCCTCACTAAGACCCATTAGAAAAGGTAGTGCCATTCTATGGGAATTTTCGTCAGCAACATAGGTCAAAGACAAGAGAGGAACCAAGAACATTTGTCTTAGAACAAAGCCCTTTTATTCTTTGCTTATTAGTTTTGTTAGTGTTTTGATTTAATTAGATAAAATATAGACATGTAATTTGTGTCTTTTTTTGACACTAAAAAGACTTCTTACTAGCTCTTGTCATGTGACAATTTCCTAGCCCATGGAAATTAAAGCATCCATCCCTAAAGTGGAAATTTTCACCAAGGTGTGCATTTTTGCTGAGTGACAAGCCAAGAATATGAATGCTTGTAGGGTCAATGAATTAGTCAGGCTCTTAATGCCACTAGCCTGTGTGACTCTCAGCTGCAACCTTAATGGCATTAATGCAGAAGGAGCTTGGGAGCATGGGTGCTGGCTTTGCATGCTTGATTGTGGACACCTGGAGCCTGGTGAGAGCATGCCTAAGTGTGTACACCTGAGTGTGGAGGCGAGGGCTATGAGGGTGGTGTCACTTAAAGATGGATTATGGCTACAGGATGGAATAGCAGCTTGATACAGAAGAGGCAAGACCACAAGACGACATGAGAGAAGCCAAGAAAGAGCGTAGAGATTCATGGGGGCTGAAAAGTTTGGCTACCTGCCTGCCTCCTTGCATGCCAGCTTCCCTGCCTGGTGTGCTTGGGTACCCGGTTCCCTGAGAGAGCATTAAAGCAGAAAAATCCACTGAGGGCTCTGGGACACTCCTTTATTCATCTGCCCAAGTTGACAGTGAGCTTGCCCTGTGCATCCTGGCACAACTGTGTTGTATAGCATGGGCACTGCAGAGTTTCCTGGCAGGAGTGTTCATGATTTGTGACCTTGCGATGCCCCTTGTGTACCTTCTCCAATTTCAGATACAGGCTTCCATTTGTAATTCTCCAGAATCTGTTTGATTATCCAATTCCACGTCCTTTGTTTAGTACTACTTCCCACACCCAAAGCCATGACAAAATTGTGAGACTTGTTCACTGACTTGATAAATCAATCTCTGACATCGGAATCTCTGACATAGTATTTAATAGGTGGAGAATATCACTTGGTTTTCAGATGACTGTTTCAACCAACTTGTATTTTGCCAGTCATACTTGTAGAAAAAAATCATACCTTTTATTTCCACAATTTACGGTTGTGTCTTCTGCCATATATTCAAAATCTTCCATAGAATACTCTTGATACCCACCTTCCATTTATTCTGTTCTCTGATCAGGTTACATGGTAGACTTAAGGGTAGGAACAAAGATAACAGTTTTTTTTGAGAAAGTAGAGCTACCAACTTTGGGAGGAGAAAATGTATGGAACACAAAGTCCTGTCTGTTTAAAAACTTTGTTCTTAAAATATACAAGAATGAGCAAGTTGCCATTTATTTAACATGGTTAACATGAGTAATAACCTCAAAAACTCTCAGAGAAACAAAAGTCCTACTTTAAAGAGCACCACATTAGGAAGAGATTCCAAAATCAAATGCATAGCTTTGAGAGTAATGTATCACATATGGTTGGAAAAGTACACTTGCCAACATACTAGGAGAAAATGCTCATTGAAAATTGATGGGTAGGAATAAATTAGTATAAGCCTAACATATTGACTTATTAAAGCAAAATGAAGACAGCTGTAAGATCATTTTCCCTCCCTGCCGTCATAGCAATGTTAACAATTGGTAGGTTAGCAAGCCTTACAGTAAAATATTATAGAATAATATATATATATATTTTTTGCTTGGTGGTGTATTTATATGTTCTATATTTTCAAATTTAACACTGGGTCCATACAATTCTTCTGTATTTTTCATTTTAGCTTTCTTTGCAAAGACTTCCTATATTAAAGTGCAGGTGGATAATAGGAAAGACCAAACCACCCGTGTGTACTTCGGTGAAAATGTACTGCTTATGTCATCAGTGGCATTTCTTTCTTGTTTCAGTTTCGACTTTGAAAGTGTGGAAAGTACAGTGGAGAACTCAGTGGATAAACCCAAGTCCTGGAGTAGATCCATTGAGGACTTGCATAGAGGGAGCAACCTGCCCTCGCCAGTGGGCAACAGTGTCTCACGTTCTGGAAGACATTCTGCATTGCGGTGAGTTCTTTAATCAGGAGGAGGATGCACTGGGACAACAGAGCCCTTCACTTCTCCTGATGATTCTGGGCAGTATCTCCTGTATCTTGTCACACAATACTTACATTTCCAGTGATTCTAAAGGAAGCTTTGTTCAGGAGCTTATCAATTGGGCAATACATGTACTGTTAAAAGCTTTCAAGAAATGCCATGCCTTCACTCAGCACAGAAAGAGAAAATTCAGCTAAGTGATACAGCAGAATACTCTTAATAGGCAAGTAAGATTTAAAACCAGATAGATGCTGACCTTGTGATCTAGGCTTTGTTTCCTGCCAGAGGCAGCACTTTGAGATTTAAGAAACTCAAGAATTATTTGTTGTTGTTCATGCCCTTCACCTCCCTTCCCTTTCTCCAGTAGTAGTTTTATATGTGTCTGTGGGACCTGATATTAGCCATAGTCATGGAATGCTCTAATGACATTTTTTAATGGTGAGATGCCTTTAAGCAGTTCTGTTTGGTTTTCATTTACCAGACTTTTCTGTTTCCTCTTGATGATTCCTGCTCTAGTGTCTTTGCTCCATACTAAGGAATGGCAACTGATCATTGTACCTGTGTTGGGTGTGATATCACTGGGATTGTTCATTCACTCATACCTGCAGTCATGTGTTCACTAAAAAATATTTGTGAGTTTCTAGAATTTGCCAAGCACTGCACTTAGAGTTAATAAACATGGGTGAATAAATCAAAACTTCTGCCTGTGAAGATAGAAATACCATCTAGAGTAAGTTCATAAAGGCATCCATATTCTAGTTGTTTAGTAACATTTTTTATTAATAAGCCCTTCACCATCCAAATGTTGTTTACTGCTTATAGCTTAAGAAATTAATCTCACTTATTTCAGATTTGACTTAGAATGGACATTGTTACTGTAAACATTTAATCACCGTGGGTATTGGGCCTTTGTAGTGGAGTGCCTATCTCCGGTACTAGTCAGTGAGTGAGTGGCTGTGAGGCCTTTCATATTGGGTAGCTTTGGCTTGGGTTTTGGTTATGGAACGTTAAAACATCTTATGAGATTTAGTTCTGCTGAGGGATTTGATATTTGAATATGGTGCTTCCAATCAACCACTTAGATCTTCATTGTTTAGAAATGCCAAAAAATGTTATTTGGGTTTGGAATGAATGGATTGACTACTAAGGAAGAACAGTTTTTCTGTCCACCGCAAGGTATTTGTAGTAGGCCAAAGGCAAAATATTCAGGTTCACATGTGGGCAGGGAATGAGTAGTGTGATTTGGAAGTTGAAGAAAGGCTAGTTTTGCCTGAAGAATTCACTAATCACCTTGGTACTTGAATGGAAATTATTATCTTTAGTATAATTATGTATAGGGGATTTAATTGACAATGTACATTTTAATTTACTTTGCTTTGCTTTTGCTTTGCCTTTTTTTTTGCTTAAAAAATTATCTTACATGGGTTCTTTAATAAGTCTTCTTTTTTAAAATTAGTAATTCTTTATACCTGTCTTTGAATTATTGAAGACTTATTGTCTATTGGGTATAAGTTAGTTCTGATAGAATCAGGAAAATACAGGAAATATCCTGGATCTAAGGAGAATCATAGCCCTAGGCCCAAGAAATATCCTGGATCTAAGGAGAATCATAGCCCTAGGCCCAAAGGCATGGTGTCTGGGCAGCAACCAACCTGATTAGCTTCATATTTGGCTCTACATAGATCCTCTTGGTTTTCATTTTATTTTATTTATTTATTGTTTTTAAGATTATTTATGCATACAGAACTCGGATACAGGCCAGAGGTGCAGGGGCAGTGAGAGGATTCACCAGTGACAGAGCGGGGAGCAGAATAGGCAGATTGACAAAGCACACTGTTGAGGCAAACAGTGGGCAAGACGGGAGAGGTTTGTTGTGCCATGTGGGTCACCCGCCTGGCCAGGCATTGAACTTGTGCAGCAGTGGTTGTGGATAGCTTCACAATGCTGTGCCTTAACCTGTTGTGCCATGCGGGAGGGCCCCTGGTGTTCATTTTAAATTGGAAAAATAGACCAAAAGTATAGAGATAGTCATGGCAGAAATGCTATCTTGAGAAACTCAGGGACTTTGTGACATTTCTGGTTGGCAGGTATGCTTGAATGATCAACTCAGAAACCACCATCACATTATTCTGCTTCATCACTGAACCAGTTCCAAGCTTAGGAACAGAACTTTTGAATTTCCTTTTATTCTCCTTTGTGAGTTCCTGTAAATTTGTAGGTTCAAGAAAATTGCTGTGATAGTAACTCATACCACTTGTTGACCTGAAGCTCAGATTTTGATTTTGTTTTTAAAGATTTATATTTATTTATTTATTTATGCAACAAGACCTGGAGTATAGGCCAGAGGTGCTGAAGGAGAGAGGAATCACCAGAGACAGAGTGGGCAGCAGAACAAACAGATGTACTGAAATACACTGCCAAGGGGAGCAGTGGGTAAGATGGAGAGATATGCCACCCTGTGTGGGTCAGCTCCCTGGCTGGGGATCAAACTCCTGCTACAGTGGCTGCTGATAGCTTGAAAGTACTGAGAATTTAACACATGCGCCACTAGGGAGACTTGATTTTTTTTTGTTTTTAAACAATGTTTATCGACGATATTACAGCTCTGTGGTTCATGGATATGTGCCTGGATTCTAATTCTGTATTTGGTCATTTGATAGCATCTGTGACATAAAAACAGCAATCAGAAGTACAGGCATATGGTACATGTTGCTTTTCATATACCCAAAGATTGTTTACATTTTTTTTTCTTCCTCCTCCTTTCTCTCTCCCCTTTCTCCCTCTGCTCCCCACCTTCCTTCACCTTTTGGCTTTCTTTTTGTTGCTCTTCTTTTTCATTCTGCCATCTCATTTCTGATTGTCTTCTACTTTGTCCTTTCTTCGCTTACTGTCTGCTCTTCCTCTGGTTCCACTCACTTCTTACACCACCACCAGATTGGTTTCTCTGCCTGAGTATCTTCAGTTCAAAAGCCACCAGAGCTGCTTCTCTCCCTGTTGCCTATGGAGCAGCTTCAGTTTACACACTGATGATGAGGCTTCAAACCGGCAAATCTCGTAAGTCATGGGTGAAAATGACACCCAAGAGAGTTTGTAGTGCATGGTGGCAGGGTATCGTGACTGCTCTCCATGTTATAATGTGATAACCTTGTGGCTTGGTGCTGTCATCCTTCACTGGAGTAAGGCCACTGCTTTGAAGTTTTGATACTCTCTTACATATTGTGATTAATCGTTTTAAGAATTAAGACATTTAAGCTGTGTTGTGTTTTATTAACATCACAGGGTTTTTTTTTCTTTTGTGTGTGTGTGTTTTCTTGCCCTTTATTTTTTAGAAAGACAAAAAGGAGCTAATTCATATTCCAGAGAGATTACTGATGGTTGTGTTCTGGTAGCTTTGTTTGTTTAGAATGTTTTTATATCCAAATGCAGATTTTAGTTCCCTCTCCTTGATCTTTCTACAATAGTGTAGATTTAGTAATCCTGTCCTGTATTCCTTGGCAAACAGGTTTGGTTAAACTTGGAAGAAGAAAGGAGTTTTCAGAAATTTAACAAACTTTATAAACCTGGAACCTTGATTTTTTTTTTTTTTTAAAGGAAAACACTTCTAGATCTAAGACTTTTAAGGAAACTTCTAATGTGGAGACATTCTCTTTATATCAAGACCTTATTTCTAAAAACTACTTAAGTGGATTATTAAGCTTTTCATGCCATAACTAAATCCCTTGAGTTATATATCAACTATTAGATTCTGTATTACCATACACTTGTCTGCCTGGCAAATGATAAAAATGTTTGTATTGACACAGCAGAAACCTGTAAGTGCTATTCTAAGCTAATACGCTTTCTGTCAATATGGCTACAGATCTGACTAAATTAAATGATACATAGGTGCTCACTAGATATGTGAATACAAAGACTAATTCCGATGCAAGAGCAAGTAGTTTTTAAGAATGTCATGGTTAATGCCATTAACCTTGGCATGACTTAGGTGATATGTAAATGCTCTCAGTTTCTGGAGAGGAGGGAGGGCACTAAAAGCCTGGAGAAAAAGGTTGAATTTAAACTGGAATTTTGATGGCGGTTTTGGAGTTGATCTGCAGAGTGAGGAAAGGCTGCTCCAGGTGGAGGTAGTTAAAGAGCTTGAAATGAGCAAAATATTAGTATCAGAAATCAGGCAAACTGAGAAAGGAATCTGCCCATTCCACTGTCCTTTCAGTGTCTTTGTGATAGCAGTTGAGGGTTGCCTGTGGAGAGAGTGGGTCAAAGACATACAGAACTGGAAAAACCTTGGGACCATTCAACTTCCCATTGCTGTAAGGAAATCAACATTTCCTTTAAGATATTAATTCCTGTTGTTACAGGTCAACCCCAATATGAAATGGGTTGCCTACTGCGGGTCCTCACCCATGCCCTTAAAAGGGATTTATAATAGCTTAAAAGTACTTCTAATAAAAGGCAACTGCAGGCACACACAAAAAGGTTAATAAAGGGTTTATTAGGAAGGGGAAATGAAGAAATGGACCAATTGGGGAGTAAAAAAGGGAGATAAATTGGTGAATGCATCCTATCAGTTCCACTGAGTTGGAATCCCAGTGGCACCCAGGGAGCTGACAAAAAGTCAAAAAGCCAAAAGCCCCCCAGTGCCCAAAGTCTGGTTATATACCAGACCTGGCTGCTCAACTCCACCCTCACTTCCCAGCAATCCTCCCATCCATAATGATGACATTATGGGATTTGTAGTTCTCTTTGGTGTGGAATGGGGTTGGGATCCACAAAACCTTTGTCTGTGGAATTTGTTCAGGGCATCCTTTCTCCTCAACACTATTACTATTTCTTCACCAGAAGATAATGGGTGTTTTTTCCTGTACATGAAAATACAAGAAGTACAAATTTAGATTCATGTTTTTGCATTTTAACACTATAATCCCATTCCCGTGTTTTTCATGTTGGTAACTTTTTAACATATTTTAAAAAATAGTTGCAGGGATAGAAATAGCATTGATACAGTTTTTTTTTTTAATTGGGGAAAAAGCTCATTGAGTGAGTGTCTACTGTGTGCCATCAAAGTGGGTGATGGAGGTAGGATTTGATGTAATGCAGCCTGACTCCCAGCTTCCACATGATCTTATTCTTCCATTTGATTCATAGAATGATTCCCCTCCATCTCTTTCTCCTCCCCCCACCAGTAAGTCCACTGTTTCAACATCAAGATGTCTGCATGTCCTTGTGTAAATTGTACCCTACATGAGAGGGGAGCTCTTCTCTCCAAGCCCTAGCCCCATAGTGCCCTGCAGAAGGGGCTGTTACCTGCCTCTCCCAGATGATGCATCTTTTCTAGTTAACACAAAAAGTATTTCTCAAATAAATGATGAGAATAAGCCCAAAAAGCTATATATGTATTTGTACAATTTTTTTTCACATTTGCAGATGGAAAGACATTGAAAGAAAAGTTTATTAAATGAAAATATTGTCTATTTTTAATCAAAGGGAGATTTAATATATATAAATATTTTTATTTTGATTTTGTGATGTTTTAGAATTGATAGAATAAATAAAATATATACCTATGACTCATGTTGGGAGAAACACATAATCTAGAACCTTCAATTTTGGAGTTTGGATTTTTGTATCTGGTTAGCAGTAGAATGGGAAGTCACAGAGACTATTGATCCTTTCAGGCCTGAAGGGTCAGTGGTTGTGCTGGAGGTAGATTGGAGGAAGAGATTGTTAAAGCCACTGTTGTTGGTTCCTACATGAAATATACCTGAAAATTAAAATAGAGAAAAAATACAAGGCTATTCCAAAATTTGACTAAGTTGTCAGATATTTAAAAAAAGAAAAGTTTGTGTATGACTGAAAAATGAAAGAGAACCATTAATAATAACAGAAAAGTTGGATTCTAGATGGGATCTAAAATGCCATTTAGTTTATCCCTCTTTTTGTTGATCAGGTCCTGGAAGTCCAACTCTCAAACTTTATTCTCCAAGAAGTTACCTAGTTCCTGCCAGTCTATCTAATTATGTGGGTTAATGACCCATATGGATTTTTGAACTTTGTTGCAGTAAAAACTTCTGTTTACCACAATTTTCCTGAACTCTGTGCAGCAGTGATCCTGTTTAAAGATATGGAAACATCAACTCTGTACAAATTTGCCGACAGAAGGATAGTTGAACTCCATCAAGTTTTTACAGGTTCTTTTATTTCAGCAGTTAGCATTTTATTTTGCTTCAATTGTTGGGGAAAACCCACCTAGATTCTTAATTTAAGCCATCACAGGATCATATAAAAAGATCTTTGAATTTTATAGTTAGAAGTGAAAACATTTTTATCATGATGAATTTGAACTCTTTTGTTTTTTACCTACTTGTATTAATTAGGAAAGTCTAAAGAGACCATCATTCTCTTTCTTTTTCCCTACTTCTCTCTCCCCCATCTCCTCAGTTACATAAAATCAATTGGGATCTTTTTCAGTCTTTGTTATAGTTGTTTGTATTTTATGCAATATGTATTCTTTCTCCTTGACTCCATTTATTCTAACCTTTCCCTGTGAGAGAATATTAAAGAATCAGATCTGTTGCCATAGATGTCTAGTCTAAAGGGGGGAAAAATACAAAGAAAAAAATATTTTCAAGGCTTGAATTCCCTTCATTCACCAGGTTAAATGTCAGATGTTGATTAAAATTTTCTTTTTTTTTTTAAGATGTATTTATTTTATGCATACAGAACTGCGATGCAGGCCAGAGGTACTGGGGTGGTGAGAGGATTCACCAGAGACAGAGTGGGGAGCAGAACAGGCAGCTTGATGGAGTACACTGCTGAAAGGAGCATTGGGTGAGACAGGAGAGGTCTGCTGCACCACGTGGTTCTTCACCTCCAGGGCAGGAGATGGAACTCACACTGAGGTGGTTGTGCTGCAGCGATGGCTCCTTTGCAGTGCTTCTCTTTAACCCGTTGTGCCACCAGGGAGGACTGGTTAAAATTTTCATTAACAGTTTAGAAAGAGATAATAATGGAAAGGAGTGGAAAAACAAAAGTGACTAGGAAGCAATCATAGGAAACACCTGAATATTGTTGACGAGTGAGAAGTATCAAACACTGCCTAACCTGACAATCTATTGACTTGAATGGAGGCTGCAGAAAATTAACCACCATGTATAAAATATTTCTAAATTTGCAGACTTTCTAAAAATAACCCATAACTACAAACTTTTTTTTTCATGTTTCAACAACACATTTGAAAAACCTGAATGTGCTAGGTAGTTGTGTTTTAGATTTTTATATGTTTCTCTATATTTAAAGTTGTAAAAAGAGAAAAAGGTACTGGGTGAAGCACATACATTCCAACTTCTCAGGTTGGAGCTCATTGTAATGGTGGCCTTGCTAGTGTAAATGTTGAGAGCTTAAATTCTAGCTTGTGCATATGTCATGCTGGCAGATTATTAAGTATTTCCCATTATGAGGTTTGTTTTCACTTGTTCCATTTCTTCATTGGGTCTTTTTTACCATTGGAAAGCTGAGAGAGACTATGTGGCCAGAATGTTTTTGGGGATCCCTCTCATAGATTCTTAGGTTGGCGGAGATCATGGTGTCTATCGAGGTCCTTTTGACTCGTTTTGAGATTAACCATTCCTATAAAGACACTGGCATAGTCATCAGTCGTCAGTAAATATTAAGCTGTTATTGAGGGAGACACTGAAGAGGACAGCAAATTCCCACAGGTGTGGTCTCACATCTTCATGAAAAAGTTTTATTACATACTTTACATGTGAAGGGTGATTTACCATGTGATAAGCAAGCTGAAATAGGCATTAATAATTTATTTGTATGATTTATGACTGATAAAGGAGTTTTTCACACCTATATCACTATATCTTCATGAATATTTGGGAGGTGTTCCAGGATAATTAGCCTTGTTTTATAAATGAGGAAGCTGAAGCCCAGAGAAATTATCCATAACTAATAAATAACAGAGCTAAGATTTATAGTTTAAAGTCTTCTGGTTTCTTCACACTATATCACAATATCTTTATCTACAATTAGATTGAGAAATATGGTTC